GGAAAAAATGCAGATGCTGATGGATCTGAAGCTGAGTGTTGGAAACTCTTCCCTTGAAAAAGGAATGGGCAGAATTCAGCTCAAGATGAAACTTCACAGGTGATGCCTCTCAACAGTGAGATCCCTGAGTTGAGCGCGTTGGATCAGATTTGTGCAGCTAATGTCAATATAAACTGTTGATGTAACATAACATATGGTGTGATTTTACAGGTTAAGTCTAATAGCAGCACTTGTCCAGTGATTTGCTTACATTGCCTTTTCTCTGAGCCTGTTACACTGTGATGCTTCCAGTGCTTCCGTTTTATGTATTCGAAATAGAATTTGAATTTATTCTAATGTTTGTAGTTGAGTTTTGCTTGGCGGAAGTCTGAGTATCTGTTGCTAGAACAGCTTTGTGACTTCCACAGCATGCTCCACCTTAATCTGCCAGTGGCAAGTAAGATGGAGATGCTTAGTTTGTTCAATTGTTGTTGTAAGCTGTTAAGGATCCATCTATAATAAATCCTTTATGAACTGATTATGTTCTGATACCTTTGTGGAAAGCAGTTTGTCTTAGCTGCTCTTTATACTTTGTTGGACATGTCTGCTGTCTTATGTAAACCAGAAGTTTCAAATAATAGACATCAATATTAGCCTTCTATTGTTGTTGTGAGAAAATAAGAAATCAGTGAATTTCAGAATTTCTGGAACAGTTTTTGAAGTATTGCAACAAGCGTTAAAGACTGTGTCATAGTAAGTAAACGAATTATTGGAAGTTTAAGAGCTACGTTTATTGTGTGTGTGTATGAATGGATATATAAATATAGACATGCTTTACAAAAACTCTAAAACAACATGAAATTTGTTACTGAAATGTTGACTTGAATCTGCAAGGTGAATGAGGGATGCTTGGTGACTGAAAAAGGGAAGGCTGTTGAGAGAGGGGAAAACCCGAAAGAAGAGTCCAATCTGAAAATCCTTTCAGTTTAATTACACTAAAGTTTATATTTAGCCTGGGATCAGAGCCTTCACGCAGTGTTTGAGCATAGTAACCACTGGAACCTTTTTTCTTATCCCTTGTCTGTTACACAGCATTGGTAAGCAGTTAAGTGTTGTTGCCCAGTCTGTGTTGTTCAAAACCATACTGACAGTGAAGTACCGCCTTCTTGAGAGTAAGCTGGCAAATGCTAACTAGGCAGTTCTCAGAGATAGTGATGAAATATTAAGAAGATACTTATTGTAGGGTTGTGTGGAAGTTTAGAATGTAAAAGCCTTAAGAGGAAAGGGAGAGTATGACAGACTTGCTTAAAAAGGAAAAGGTGGGGAGGCTGTATTAGATAAGGAGTTGTAAGTACAAATGTTGATTGTCGGCATTTTTAAAGCCTTCAGAATTGCTCACTGCCCTTATAAAGGAGGTGAAAAGAGCCTTTGTTGGAAGAGAGCTGGGGATTTTGATAAACTAATACATATAAGCAATTCAGTTCATTATAGGAAGACTGAGATGCAGTTACTATAGTAAAATACAGTTTACTGGAAAGAATGAAATTAAATTCCAAAATCTTACTCTATGGAGGAAGAGAGAATACTAAAAAAAAAAAAAAAAGCTCATTGTTAATCTTATTTAAAAAAGACTGACAACTGAAGCTAGTTTTGTCAACTGCTAAGGAATTCCAGTATTTTTTTCCTTGCAGTGTTTTTGTATATGTGTATTTGGGAATGAATATTTAAGCTTTTGAGCTTTTTAAGCTTTTTCAGAAGCAGGCAGTCTTCAAGAGATTTGCACTTCTCCAACTTGATTACCCAAGCAGGATACCTGGGTAAAAGTGCTTAACTAGAGGCAAAGCTAAGCAGATCTTCAGACTTGACTCAAATGGATGTTCTGTCTTAACAGAGCACCAACTCTTTACTCTTTGTGCTGAGATATGTAGACTAGTTTATGATCAGGATTTTCTGCTATTCTCATTCAAGGAATGGACTGAAGCTGTAGAACTTCATATAGTGTATTTGAAAAGCTGTGAAGTGAAAAGTTAGTGTGGGCTCTTCAAGGATTTCTGCAGGCAGCAATATATAAACAATTGCTGGTTGAGGTTCAAACTGATGTTTTCAGATGGAACACGAATGTTTTACCTAAATCTTTTAAGAGGCTGCTCTTCAAGTGTCCTCTTCATAATTGTAAAACCTGCTTTCTTGTTATCCCCTAAGTTAGCGAGGAAGGAATATAGACTATTAAAAGAACAGTTCCTACTCAACCCTTCCAAAACAACCGGCCTTGCTATATTCTTTTGCATTCTGGTTGTCAAATATATTGCTTGCTGTCTTGAGATCTCTCTGAATAGAGCAGGAAGATGTAACGGGAAAGAATCCTTTGTGGTTTGTAACTTTCTAGAGAAACAGCAGCCAAACTGGGCAGCATTTCAAGGGAAATCTTATGCCATTACTAAATCTCAACACTGCAAAACAGTTGGACTAGGTAGAGACATATGGGTACTAATGTACTGGAAAAATAAGTCCTTGAAACTGTGGCGTATTTGCATAATTTCATTACTACTGATCTGGATAAGAGATTCAGATAGCAGATGGGAGATGATCTGGTTTCTGAGAAGGACTGTCGCTTCACTTCACCTCCTGGCTTCACTGTGTGGTTTAGCAGTTCCTATCTCAAACTTTTAAGTTTCCTTATTGGAGTCTTTGTAATGTGGGATGAACATGTACATATTTATTCTGAATGCAAATTCAGATTTAGAAAGGGACAGATGCTGTTTGGAGATGCTAAAGCTTAGGGGAGTCATTTCTTAGAGTTTTTTTTAACCCTTTGTGCTCTAGTGGGGAGGAAAGGTGGCTCCTAGTTCTACCTCTCTTTTGGTACAGAAATCTCTCTGTTGCAGTAGAGAAAATAGAAAGCAGAAATCTTAGCAGGGCAGCCAAGGCTAACTATCCTGTTCTTTATTATTTTCAAACAACTGATGTCATACAAATGTGAGTGAAGTGCAGCCACTTAAGATGGAGGAATTCATGTTGAACTGCAAACTACAGATGTGAGACTTTTGTGTGTGATTTAAGCTGGTCTGGTGGAACAGTATTTCGAGGGAAAGAAAGAAGATTCCTGAGGCTGTTGCAATTTTAGGAGAAGCATGGTATTAAAGGTAGTGGTGGTCCTTGTTTTATTTATTGTGTGAAGCTCATTTGAGGTTGGATGCAGCCAAAGTGAAGGATAGACTGTTATAACTGGTAACTTGAACAGTTGTTCAGGTTGCTTCAAATTGGCCTCTTTGAAAATGTTGGTGTGAAAGCAGATGATGATAACCTAAATAGAAAACAGAATTATGCTCCTTTGTCTGAAGCTTTGCTAATTCTTACTGAATGCTGTTTTTGTTGCAACCATCACTGAAGCGTCTGAGTTCCTTTTAGCAGTTTATTAAGTGACGTGGTTAATATCTGTCCAGGGCAGACTTCTGCTGGGAGACCCTATGTGACTGGCAAAAGGGATTAAATGTTGTGTAATAAAAGTTCATCTTTTGAGATAAGTAATATATTTTAAACCTACAAGTATGAGAAAGTCATGTGGATTCTCAGTTACCAGAAAGACCAAACAGTTGTCTCCCCCTTTTGCTAATGCTGATAAAGTAGCTTCTCTATGAAATATGCATATGTCTTTGAAAGCTTTAACAAGTACTTTAACTGTCCAGTCTTGAATATTTTGCTTGATGTTTGAAAGCTTATCTTCTCAATTCAGTATTGAGAATTATATCTATACCATGAGCTGCAGTTTGACATGCAATAAAGCTTAGTTATCATTATGTTAGGAGATGTAATCAGTTTTTCTGAAGTCAGCACCTGAAAGCAATAGGGGTTTGCAGCCCCAGGGGCTGTGCATGCAGAATCAAAGGAAGGTCTTGTCGGCTGTGGGGATTTTTACAGCTCTGTTTCACTGTCTGTTAAGCAAATTTCAGCCTTTTCAGTTTAGGATTACTACTTCTGTGCTCTGCACAGAAGCTTTCTAGTAACGACATCTTTTTGCTGTGAGGACAAAGCCATAATAATTACATAGGCTTTTCCTCACTCTCTGCACAGGCAGATCTTGAGAGGTAAAAATTCTTTCATTAACCAAATGTCCAGATAAAACGTTTCCAATGAGGAAACAAGGCGTAAGAGAAACATACCGCCGAAGTCGGAGAAGTGCAGCTCGCTCAGCGCGTCCCCGCCCTTGGCCGGTCCCAGCCGTGGGCAGCGGGAGCTGCCCGCAGGGGCAGGCCTGGTGGAGAGCAGGGGGGCTCTGGCCGCTCGGG